TTTTTTTTGGCACATCATTTATTATGATGGTTTTAGGAAACCACCTCTTTCCTGTTTGAAACCCCTGTTTTCAGTTGTCCATCATGGAGTAAAACTGCACTTCTCTGGGCAGACGTTACCGTTGCCTCRTTGCTGCTAAATTATCGTTCAGAAGTTAATTTCATTCTATGGAATGGCAGCCCAAACCCAGCAGGTTTCCCTTCCTCCTGAAAACTTTGCTTCCTTGAATGTCCGTAAGGAAAGCCCAGAGTATCCCTTGAGAAGCATCTTGCTGGCACCACAGGTGGTTATTCCCAGGCACATCCCTCCGGGAAGCAAGTTGGATCAGTGGAGCTAGATACCCGAGAGATCAAACCCTTTGCTGGGTCTCTCAAAACCTCCTTCCCACCCCAAAYAGATGCTGCTTCTATTAGGAATTTGGAACTTTTGTTTCAATAAGAAATTTAACCCTTCACTGCTTCATATTTATATACAGTACATCTAAGATTTCCTACAGATATTAAAGTGTACAGTTGGAACATAATTGGCTGARTTTATATAGAGTGCTGAAATAAAATATCTGATGCTGATTTTTTTTCCTTATGGCAGTGAAATACATTATTTTTATTCCTTAAAAGAAGTATTTATAGGATATGTAGAATAGAAACCTTGGTTGTCTGCTACTGTTTCACTTTGCTGGCAAGCAGTGTAGGCTAATGGTGAGAACTGGGGCCACTGGCACTGCCCACCTCCCACAGTCAGATGGAATTAGCTGGGCTTCAGAGTATAAAACAGGCTTGTTTATCTTATTTTTAGAGGGAGAAATATTTAATCTAAATGTTAGCTATTAAAAAAAAAAATATCCCTGTGCTATTCAATTTAAAATAGCCTGTTGCATCAGCTTTATTCAGGTGCTGAACGGCACTGCTTGCTAAAATGCAGCACTAGGCTGCAGGGTTCTGCTACCGAGTGTACGCTTAAAACTGTACAGCTTTGGGAACAGGGGATTTTCCCAATCCCCCGTCCGTGGCTGCTGCACTTGTGAGGTTTGGTCATTTGCATTAAGATGAGAATTATGAGGAAAAAAAATCTCTATTATTAAGTGCTTGGGGAGGAAGTGCCTTTGTGCCTCAGCTGGTGCCGAACAAATAACTATTCTGCTCAACGGTGCAAAAGCCAATTACAGCCACCATGGTGACRGAGACCGTGAGGGCACAGTTAACACTCGAGCTGTTCTCTCCCCTTTTTCTAATAAAGATCTGCCTTAATTTGTTTTTTTTCTTTGTAATTTGCTTCCTATAATTAAACTGTTCCTGTTGCCTAGCATGAAAATGAGCTGTGCTAACCTGAGACTAATGTTTCTGAGCCCTTCAGATTTTTAATCAAGTGGCTGTAAGTCACTTTTTTTTTTGATTGCAGAAAGATCTATTGCTGGAGTTCATACATTAAGATGTACAGAAAACTTTACTGATCATAATGTAGTGAAACAACACTTCAAGGATAATTTGGGAAAATGTATTTAAGTGACTGCTACCTCATTAATTCAACTTAGTTGCTATTAAGATGTTTTATAAATTTATTTTAAAGCGTTTCAGAGCTATTTAAAGTGAACTCCCTTGTTCACCAGACCRTGAACGTGACTGTGTTTGTGGCCCATGGAAGTGCTCTCAGAGGTGTTTTTCACCTCGTTTTGAGCATGGAGATAAAGTTTATCAGCTGTCTATGATTCTTTCATACTTGCATTAGTGTCATGTGTGATAATGGCCAAATTTATATTTGTGAGTATTTGTTCTTTGTGAATATTGTTTTGAAATTGCCAGAAATTGTTTAACTAGCAAGTAATACAGCAATGCAAAGTGGTATGATATAAATCTGAGTAAGTACAAAGAAAGCCAGGCCAGGAGGGAGTGAGGTAGCTGGGAAAGACCAGGTTTTGCCAGTCTTAATACTGTTGGTTTGAGAAGTGAAGACCTTTTCTGAGCTGGAATAGAAAATAGTGCTTAGAAATTTAYGTTTAATTAACATAGGTAGATGTGGATAAAACATGAGAACTTCCTTAATTAAAAGAAACTTTTTTTGTGTCTTAGAAAATACAGTCATGTTGTAATATTTTTTTTCTTTTATTTTAGGTATTGGGAAAGTCATYGTGCAGTTCAGTGTTAAGACCCTGCTTTGCAAAGGGGCAGCAGAAAGCCCTGCCTTGACGTGGGATGCACTTTATACAGGTAGGTGCAGGGGGTCTGAATGCAGCCGTGTATTCAGGAGTGGGAGCTGGGAGGCTGCGGGGACTTGAAGAGTTTTACACTTGGCTTCTCTTGACCAGATGTGCTGCTGCTGGCCAGGTGCATGGATGTCCGCAGTGCTCCTTTGCGGGCGTGTTTGGGGTGGCAGAGGGCATTCAAAAATGCAGGATGACATTTCTCCSTAAGATAAAATCTGTGCTTTTACTGTTCAGAGGACATCCTGGAACAGTGGATTGGCAAACAAAAGTATCCATACATATGGAAAGGAACAAATAATTGAGATACATCAACACTGCACTTTATGCATTTTTGTTCAAACTTTGTATACTTGTTAGCTGATCTGGACTCTTTTTAATAATTGCAGGGGGATGCTTGTCCCTGCTCCCATGCTGGATTCTAACCGTGCGAGCTCAATACGTCTTTCCTCAGCTCGTGAGCTAGAAACGAAGTAAAGCAATGAGGAGATTTGTTTACTGCAAGGTGGTTCTGGCCACTTCTCTCCTGTGGGTGCTTGTGGACGTCTTTTTACTCCTGTACTTCAGTGAATGTAATAAATGTGATGACAAGAAAGAGAGGTCTCTGCTGCCGGCTCTAAGGGGTAAGTGCCACGTTTAATCTTTGAAGGCCAAAGTCTTGTTGGAAGCATTTGACCTCATATGTTTTTCTGTACTTTCTGAATCATTTTTCTGATTCAAACAGACAAAATACTGGAACCTGAAATACTTTTTTTTTCTCTCTCTCTATTGTTGTATTTTAGTGGTTTCTGAATTAATTTCAGAAGTTTAGTTATCTTGGGGCTTGACCTTTGCTGTAAGAAGATCTGAGTTTTGCATGTGTACTGTCGGTAGAACTGATAGAGCTTTCTGATGTGTGGAACAGAAAACCAAAGGAATGAAATAAAAGCATGCCTTTTTTTTTTTTGTTCCTTAAACAAATGTCATTCTGCTTACCATTGACACTCTATTTTTATTTTTTTTAAACTTTTGTGGAAGTTATTTAATTGGAAGCACTCTTAAACTCTTAACTCTTGCTGAGTGAAAACTTCTTAAAGCTACTGTGACTCCTTCTGCCCTATGAAAACATGAGGATAAAGTCTCAAATGCAGATGGAGCAGAGAGGCTTGTCTCACTCCCGATATTTTTAGCACTGTAATTTACTACAGGGAGCCTTCATGGAAAGGGAACCTTGACAGAAGCAACTCGTCTTCATCCTGTAATGGTAAATTTGCAGGGCAGACATTCACAGGGCAGATGGCGTGCCAAAAAGAACAAAAAACAAAAGAAATGACATAATCTCTGATTAGGACTTGTAATAAACTTGATAGTAACCTATGGAAGCTAAAATTGATTCCTGAATACAGTTCAGATTATCAACCTGTGGAAAATCCCACTGGGAAGGAGGAAAAAAATCTTGTGAAATGAGTATGGGGGGTGTTTTATCTTTTCTTTGTGCTGTAAATTAATGTCTTATCCTTCAGGAGTTCAGGTGAAGCATATGGAAGAGGAGGGTAATTTGAATCTCTAAGAGGATTGAAACAAGGCTAATTACAATTAGTGGAACTGCTCTTGTAATGCACTTAGTGTTGGCAATAGACAAAAGGTGTGTCTGAGTATACCGCTCTTATCATAAATGCATAGACTATATATAGTATAAAGTGTATGTGTGTAAGGGCTTTAAAAATGTAAGGGCTTTAAAAAGCCCTTATAACCACAGATCCATGGCTTYGACAGCAGATTAAATCATTGCTATCCTTCCAAAAAGTTTTGGGGATATGGGTTCATAGCTGTAATAAATAATTTCACAGTATTTTCGTTTCACAGTATTTTCATTTCAAGGTATTTGTCATGCAGCAGTCAGCAAAATGTCAGGAAGACAGGACTTTCACCTTCCAAACGTGCACATGGCTGAGCAATGTAAATCCTCACTTGTTACTGTTCTAATGCATTTCCAAAACATTATGGTATTGTTTATTTTCCCTGTTTTTCTGTATAATAGAAATATTGTATTTACAAATAGATAATAGATATTAATAAATATTAGAATCTGGCATATTATGAATAAAACGAAAAAAATTTATGTCAGCTGGTCAGCTGCAGAAAAGTGATCATAGATTTTTTTTTTAAGTATGGTCTGCTTTTTTGATGATTTGTAGTAAAAAAATATAATTTAAAAAAAATGTAGTAAAAACAATATAAAATATTAGACTAAGAAATTTTATCTGAACCTTAACATCAGTTTCTTTACGTTGATCTAGATTTAAAAAAAGATTAATATTCTTCCCCACTCCAGTCTTATTTCTTTCTGGAAAACATCTAGAACTGACAAGTATGAGTTTGACTTTTTGATCCTTGTCTAGCCTTGAAAATAAGCAAAATATTTTCTAATTGTGGACTCTTATTTTGAATTATACTGCATTTGGCTACTTGGGTTTTTTTAAATATTCAGTTCATTAACACAGAACATGGAATGCAGAATTTCTGTGCAGAAATCGTATTTTCACTAGGACTTCAGCATGTAGAAGCTGTTTGCCCTCAGTTTTGAGAAGGAAGCTGTCTTGAATAAATAATTTTATTTCTACTGGAAGGCCTGGTAAATGCTGTACTAATGTTGCTACCATGCATATTTTACTGCTATCCCAGAAAAATTATTGATTGTAAAATGGTTTGCAAAGTTTTTAAAGTGATATTTAGTATGTGAGGACACTGACACAGTTTTATTGGAAATTTATTAGGCTTTTCCTTTTGCGAGATAACTGAAATTAYAGTAAGAGCACACCGAGAAAAAATAGTTTGCTTATTTTATCCTCATCTTTTTGACCAACTTAAAATGTTGGAACAACATTTTAATATACAGAACTTGTACAAGTAATTGCAGTAAAACTTTTTTTTYCCTTATTGGTAGTCATAATTAAAGATTGAGAAACCCTGTTTGAAGCTTGTGGGGTTTTGTTTTAGTATATCTATACACTTGAAGTAATAGTACAATAATGTATACAGTAATTTCTTTATAAATGCGTTATATTCCTGTCCATTAAATTCRTAGGAATTTTGTCTTGCAAGTTCATTTGTTCAAAGACCTAATTTTTTTTTTTTGCTGGAATAGAGGGTGATATTTATTACTGGGTCAACATGCATTTTTTGAAATAAAAAAATCCCAAATACCGTAATCATCTGATCTGTTATGGATGTCCAGCAAGAATCTTCATCCAGTTCTGCCGAAACTCGGTGTTCTGGTGGAGCAATTAGAAATGTTTKCTTAAACTTCTGTGTGCCCCTATAGAGCAGACTGCTAAAACCTCCTTGCRGTATGTGCCACAAGTTGTTGGACATAACATATTGTGGTGTTTTGGGTTTCTTTTTTTGTAAACATTAAGTGCTCTCACTTACGTAGTGTATTTGTCAGTCTGTGAATACCTCTGAGCAATGAAGATTTCTAAGTATAAAATACAACATAAATGGAATATTTCCGCAAAAATATCAAAATGGTACAACAGAATAAATACACTAATAGARATTTAAAGGGGACAGAAACCTAATATTTAAATCGTTTGTTCCATTACCCTGATCATTAAGTGGAGGGGGAAGATTTGAGCTTGTGTGGCTTTGTGTTTGGACATAGGAGGTCACCTTTGCATGTCCTTTTAGTCCCAGGACCCATTGCCTTGTAAAGGGTTCGTAGAGGGAAGCGTGCAGTGATGCTGAAACGTAAGTGGTGATGGCTCGCGGAAGGAGACACAGCTTGGTGCCGAGCACGGGAGCTGCTGTTGGGAGCTGGTGCTGTGCTGGGTTGGCGWTACTGCCGAACAACTCGCAAGCGAGATGCTGACCAGCCCCAGCTGGCGTTCAGGCCAGTCGTCTTTATTGCATCTCCCTTGGTACCCCTGGTGAAAGAAAAACGTGGACTTCTTGAAGTTATTTCCTGCTTAAGGAGCAGGTTGATACTGGACAGCCATTCAGCAGCRGCTCTGCAGCAGGACCTCGTGGAGGAGCTGCAAAAATACTACCCCAGCAGGCCAGGAGTTTGGCTTTCTGTTAGCACCATGCCCACAGCCCAGGTTGCCTTGTTTTGACTGTTGCTCTCTGCTAATGCAGAATAATGCATTCGGTAATGCTGCTGGTGTTGCTTGCTTTTTTTTTTTTTTTCTCCTCTTCTGTTTTCTTCCTTTTCCCCTTAAGTGAGATAGCAGATACATGCTGACCAGTGTTGTTCTTACATGGTGCATTTTATGGAGGATGAATCAGTTAGGAATTTTTCTGGCCAGCCCAAACCCATAGAAACACACAAACAAAACAACCAAATAACATTTAAGTTTGCTTACCTTGTAGGGGTAGCCTTCAGTGCTAGCCTTGATGAGGATGCTGCTGTAAGTATTTATTAAGAATGACTCTGCTGCTTTGAGAAGTTGGTTCTTGGGGCCTCTGAGGGCGGTCTTACTTAGTACTGAGATTAAATAGGTGAAATAATAGAGATAAATGAAGAGATAGCTGGCCCAAGGAAGGGATTGCAAATACATTTTTTTAAATGCTTTGAACTAATCAAATCCAATCTGTTATTCCTAGCAGATGATTCTCCTGGAACATACAAAATATGCAGCTGACTGGTCCGAAGGCTTTCAGGTCTGTTTGAGGACATAGTCTTATTTATACTTAAAACAAAACTCCTGTCCTGACAGTCTAAAAGTCAGTTCACTCTGCAAGATGTGCTCACAACCAAGGAGATGCTGCTTAAAGCACATTGGAGCATTAGCATCCAAGTTAAATCACAGCATTCAAAGAGATCTCAAAAAGAAGATACGAGTAAAAAGTGGAGCTTTGCTCCTTTTATCTCAAAAGTGGCTTGATCTTCCTCTTCACTGTTGCCTATGTCTGCCTGTTATTGAACATAACAGAGGCAACGAAGAGCGAGCTATGAGGGTTATGAATACTTTCTTAGTAACTCCGAGTCTTGTTCCCGATGCCATTTAAATTTAATTGGCTCAGAGCACACCAAAGTCCAAACACAGCCTCTTTTGCACAGAGATTTAGTGCATAATCTTAGGAAGTGGAGCGCAGGGTTTAGCATCTTGAAACAACTTCATGAGTGGTGCGAGTTACTGAGGTCGTGGTGCCCGGTAAGGACGCCGCAGGTGACCTGTTACGGTCCTCACAGCGGTGCCACCAAGACCACGTTTAAAAACCTGCTGAGACCCCTCAGCATCAGGAGGCAGTTTAACAGCCTGGCATCTTCTCAGGTAGATTTTGATTTCATTTTCCACAAGTTAGGTTTTCACAGCTAGTCTAAGAGGGCCCTTCTCCCCAGCTACGTCAGGAGAATCTTTAGGGTTTTGTGCCTGGGGTGGTCACTGCGAGAGGGGCAATGTTCACCCTCATCTGGGAGTCGTGGTGGCAGAGAGGCTCATCCTGGAGTCAGAAAGCTCTAGGGAAGTTGCTTTTTTCCCCCCTTGATTCATGATTAAAGGATTTGAAATGATGTTTCTCTGCAGTGGAGTTTTGTTCTAACTTTAGTTTCAGATTCAGAATTCTGAGTTAAATTTGGTATTTTCAGATTTAAAAGCTGTCTCTGTAGGCAGCTCTTGATGGGCAGTTTCCTGCCCAGACT